GCACACAAAAAAATCAAATTTGGCTAAATTATGCTTAGTTTAGTTTTAGTAGAGGTTTTACGGCACTCGCAACTGCATAATGTCAAATGAGCGTCAGAAGTTTAGAGGTGTTACAAGAGAGTAACAAACATAAAAAAGAAGAAGGGGAGATAAGGACGATAGATGTTTGATAGGAAAGAAGAAGCAAACCACACCAGAGCGCCCGCCAACCACCCTCGCTAAATTATGCGGGGGTGCATAAAACCACGGGGCAGGGGAAAATATGACGTGTGTTGTTTTTCCTGTTGGTTAAACTGTCTTGGCCCAGGTCAGAGACATTGGCCCAGGTTAAACCCGATCCTAGCATGTTGTGTAGTTGTATCCGGGAATCGAAGTAAAAATAGAACAAGTTGATCTTTATCTGGGTGCACGGTGGGGTGGTAAAGTTTGTTGGGTTAGATAGAACGACAAGGGGGGGAAAAATGTCCAACTTTCTACTTTGGGCTTGAACGCACGAGGAAATCCTTTCATGAATTCTTTTTATTTTTGTGTCGACAAAGGGCATGCCACAGCCACAGCCACAGCCACAGCACGAGAGAAGGAGTTTGTTTTTTTACATCATGTTATCAGAGTGTACGAACATTTATGAGGCAGCGTGGTGGAATCAGGCTCTCGTCAATTTTTGAGCATGTAAAGTTATTGGTAGGTATCATTTTTAAGCTTTTGCACTTGTCTTTATTTGGATGAATAAAATATCCATTTATCTTGAATACAAGTCGAGATATTTGTGAAAGAAGGAGGTGGGGGTCACTTGTTTTCAGAGGTAAAATTAGTGAGAAAATGGCCGCCAAATGTTAGTTATTTTATTTCCTTAGCGTAAGAGTCCGTGGTAACATAAAATGTACATTTTTTTTGCCTTTAATCAACGTTTTTCAGAAAAATCCGCAAGGAAATGAGTTCTTTAATGGCATGAAAAGTGCTGAGCCAAAAAACGAAAATTTGATAAAAATTCAGAAACAAGCGGAAAAATGCAAATTTCTTCACTTTGATTATTTTGACGAGAGCCTGATTTCACCACGCTCACTCACATTTTCCTGTTGTAAGTGTGAGGTGATTTTGAAGACAACTTGTCCGACTAGAATCTAATGCTATCACTGTTCTCGTCCTCTACAACAGGTGGTCGTTTTAGACAGTTTTAGTAAGCGTTTCACGGCACTTGCAACATAATAAGGTAATATATGTGCCGAAGATTAGAGGTGTTACAAGGGTAACAAATACAAAAAAGAAAGAGGATAGAAGACAAAGGACGATAGATCATGTTTGATAGGACCTGAAAAAAAAGAGAAGTAAACCACACCAGAGCACACGCCACACCCACAGGTGTAACTGTGTTTTTAAAGTTATGATTCATAAGCTCCGTCATGGGTTCGACACACGGGGGCATTCAGTGGTGTAGTTGAGCCGGTTCAGTGCTTTTTGTGAAGGGTTTTCAGAACATTCACTACTAACTAACTAGATCTCAAAGTTGAGTTTGTCATAAACTCCGGTTCAAACGGGTTCTTTTGGTTCAGTGGGTATTTTATTCACACACACACACACACACACACACACACACACACACACACACACACACAC